TGCAACCTGCGCCCCTGCCCCCCCGCGTCCGGGGGCGCCGGGAGCCTCTACCGAGAAGCAGTTGCACCGGGGGCGCCCGGACCCTGGACGCACCCGGACTCCCTGGAGAGGAGCAACGGGATCTTGGTGATCTCAGGGCGCGGAGAAGTTTCCCTGTTGGGGCAGGAAACCTGGGGGTACGTGCGGCAGGAGATGGGGGTTCATCCTGAGCCTCTCTCCCGGAGGAGGAGACCCCCGCCCCTTCCCTTCCCGGGGCAGATGCGAGGCTGCCACCGCCCTGTCTGGCTTTGCGTGAGCATGCCTCGGTGGGCCTCCAGGATGGCTGGGGGGGGGGGGTCGTCTGCTTTCCCTTTGGCTCTCGCTCCTCCACCCCTTTTCCTGGTGGCTGAAGGGGAACCGAAAGTGGCCAAGTTTGCAGATCAGATCAGGGGAGCTATCCTAACGCCATCACCACACGCCACGTCCATACCTTGAGGGCCGTTGTCCTTGGGACGCTTCCCCCAAAACCTCTCCCGGCCCAGCCCCGACGGCGGGACCCGCGGCTCAGCCATCCACACGGCGCAGAGGGAAGGATGAGCCTCGCCAAGGAGTCTTCCCCGCAAATCCAAGCGATCACTCCCCTCGACCTTTCTCCTTTCTCTCCACCGGCAGCTCCTCTGAAAACACTTCAACAAACTCGGCCCCGCAGGGACATCCCGGCGGCAGCGTGTGGAGAACGGGGCAGGGGGAAGGGGTGGAGGGCCAGCAGGGGCAGATAAGGCGTGGGGCCAGTAAGTGCCAGGCAAGCGGATTAGGTTACCAGGCCTCCCATCCCCAGCCTTCCAGGAAGTGGCTAAGACTTTGAAAGCAGCCTCGGAAGAGGTTAACCTTGACTGGTTGGAGTTAAGGGGGTGGGGGGAGGCAGATATTTCCGCCTGTGCCCTCCGGTTCTTCCCAGCGCCGGCTGTCAATCCCCGCGCTCGTTATCCTCACAAGGCTTCCGTTTGTTTGCCTGATCTCAGCAAGGTTTTCTTCCACAAGTAGAACTATAATTGCTATAATTCCACTGTATCATTTGGATCATTGCAGTATTGTTGTTTTCTCTCCCTCTTTCTCTCCTCCTCACACTGCAGTAACACGCTCCAGTGTTAAATTAGCAGGTTGCGGAAGACCATAAATGAAAGTTTGTGTGGTTTTTTTTTAAGAGAGAGAGAGAGAGAGAGAGAGAGAGAGAGAGAGAGAGAGAGAGAGAAATTAAATAAATAAAGCAGCAAAACGACTTGGCAAAGGGGCTAGCGCATCACAGTGAATCCTTGCGTGCAATCAGTTCCTATTGTCTTGCCTCCCAATGGCTTCCAAATTGGTCGCCAGACTCCAGGGAAGTTTATTTCTATTGTTTAAATACATGTTTGGAAGAGGTTGAGCATAATGGAAGGGGACCTGAGCCTTCCGGTGTGGCTGGAAGCCCGTGACAGCTTTATTTATCTATGCGACTATTGCACAATAAATGAAGGCATCGCAAATGAGAAGCGTGCAAGGTTAACTCCTCCACGCCTTTCCCCCTGTAGAATGCCATCGAACTGCTACCCCCGCATCCAGTATTTCTTGCAAATACAATTTCGAAACTACCATGTAGAATTAGCTCTCGCCACAGAAAGGAAGGGGTTTGGTCCATTCGCCTCTTCCAGGTCATTGCTACCATCCTGGGGACAAGCCTCGCGTTTCTCAGGAGCAACAGTTCTCGGCACTTCTGACCCTCGCTTCTGCCCACGATTGTCCTTTTGATTTTAGTGGCTGATTTTTAAAGCAGACGCACTGCCTGCCATTGTTTTCCGGGCGGCCCAGGGAAAGAAATCCAACAATTGCAAGGAGCCCAGAGCTGTGAATAACCAAGTGCATGGCTGCTATGAAATGGCTTTTGGCTAGTGGGTAAAAGACAGGCACCAAAGTGAGGCGAAAAGAAAGTGGAGTGTCATTTTGCTGTGAGGGTGAATATTAAAGTGGCATTTTAGACATAATCTTCTAGAGCCCAGGTCTTAAAAGTCTGCTTAACTCCACAGATCAATTAAATTCTTCCCAAATATTAGGGGCATCAATATGTGTTTTTCTAAAATAACATGCTGGATAACACACATCTTAACCCCATATTCTGATCAGATGCCAACATCTGTGTCTCCCTGTGGGTATATGGTAGTAAACTTTTCTGACATTTAAGAAAAATTAATCTTTAGGGGACAGCCAGGGTGGCTTGTAGGTTTTGAAGTTGGGTGTTGTGATAAAGATCATTTCAGCACTACTGGGTGTACCGTTAGCTGGGTCAGGGCCGCTCTCCCAGAAGCGAATGGACTGTCTTCCCAATAACCTCACTCGAAAGATTGATTAGAAGGTGCCCAAAATAAACAAAACAAAATAACAAAGCTAGTGTTTTCACACAGGTTTCCCAAAGAAACACATCCTATTCCTTGAATAGGATTTGATTTAATTCCAGGGGACATTGAGTCAGAAGCAGAACCTATGTGAGCCTTCCCCCTTTACAATGGATGATTAAAATTAGAACACACCCCAGCAGAAAGTCCAACTTTTTTTTTTTTAAAGGAGAACAGCTGCAAAAGGGGGAGGAGGAGGATGGAGAGTTGAAAGCCCCACTGGGTTCTCAGAACTGATTTGTGAATTTTGTGTATCTTTTGATTTCATAGAATCTCTTTGGGACTCGCTTCCAGCCCACTCTTTGCGTGTGCGGAGCCCACTCTGAAGTCACTTGGCAGCCGGGTCTTGTGGATTTCCCACGCGGGGCCCGCCGGGGAGGAAAAAGTGTCTGCGTCTTTCTACCAGCAACGAGCGCGGGTCCAGGGTCCGAGGCAGGAGGCTGCGGAGAGACCGCTGTGCTGAGCCCCGCACGGCCGGCCTGGGGATTGGGCTCTCGGGGCAGGAGGGAAGGAGGAGGGAACCAGCGCGCAGAAGGTTAGTTTAAAGCTGAACTGGGACGATATCAAAACACCCAACTATCCGTGAGGATGGAAAAGAAAGAAGGCAGGCAAGGCAGAAGATTCTATGTGCCTGGGAAGAGCAGAGCAGGCTTAGGAGAAAAGCAAATGCCCCTGAGAGCAGGAGAGGGGGTGGGGGATCGGGGACATCAGTAATATTTTCAATAATAAAGATAAATTTTGAAAAGAAAAAAAAAATAAAGGAAAGAAAAAACGTCAGAGATGGTTAAGGTTCTCCTCTCTCCCCCATCGCATTCATCCAAGTATGGGGAAAACACTGGTGAGAATCCAACTAAAAGCCAGAGGGAGACAGAGACGGAAAGGGACAGAGCCTTTAGCAGCAGGAGTAAGATCAGCTTTAGCATTTACACTGTCAATGCGCCTGTTTCCAACGCTCCGTCACCCCCAAGGAGCAGCTTGAATGCTCCTGCCAAGCCAGGCCGCGCTGCCTGCCATCCACCCCCCAGCACCCGAGAGTTATGCAGATGTTTATGGCTGAAAAAACATCCCAGCTATGCACCCTTGTATTTTAAAATACCGTCTGAAAGTGATTCAAGTATAATCCTTTGTAAAAGCGCTTTTCTCTTTGACACATCGGAGGGGCTGAGAGAGGAAAACCCGGCATGGATTCCGCCTCCCGGACCCCTCTCCCAACCCAAATCCCCGGCCCCCTCGCCCCCTGCCAGCATCAGGGTCCCCGGCTGTCCCCCGGGCCCTGCACCCAGGCCAGGAGAACGTCCGTGCCAGGCCCTCGCCGGGGATCGGCCCAACTTCAATCCCAGTTGGATCTTAGTTCTCCAGACTGGAAGCTGCTTGGGAAGAACATCCTGTCCCCCAGGCAGACTCTCACCTTTGCCTCTGGGAGCCAGGCCCAGGGAAGCCAGAATGTCAGGCGCTTAGATTTGGTCCAAGGGAACCTGGGTCCCTCTCAGGCCGGAGCGCTTGCTGGATGGGTTCCCTGCAGGTTCTGCTCCCCACGGTGTGAGAGTCCAGCCTGCAGACATCGGCCTAAATAAGGAGGCGAACGTGTTGGGGGTGGAGTGGGGGGAGGGAAACGAGTTCGAGGAGAGGATGGGGACTCCCAAACCTGTCTCCAGCCGCCCCTCCTGGCAGCTGACACTCTCCTGTCCCTTTCTGCCCTGTAGGTAAGGCCTGGCGCCTTTGGCAGAGCTTTGTCTATAAGGGAACTTGTTCCGGAGTTGAAGATGGAGATGAGAGAGGTTCGGGGATGCTCCCGGGAAGCAGGCAACTGCTGGGATCTGGGTGAAGACAAGAGAGAAAACTGAACGCCCCAACCGAGGTGCAACCCTGGCACCTCGGAGGCCCATCCAACAGAAAGGGGATGGCGACAGATCGCCGCCACTGAGGTCCAGGCTCTGGCCTGGAGGCGCAGTCTGGCTTTGAAAAGCTCCAAGTCAGTCTGAACGTGAACCTCCAGGTCCCGCTTCCAGGCAGCCAGGGCCTCGGGCTGGTGGAAGGGGCGCCCGTCACCCCAGTAGCACCCACAGGGCTGCCATCCCAATCAGCTGGAGCTTCAGGCCAGCCCTGAAGGGTTAAAGGAGGAGCTGCAAGCAGAGGATGGAGAACTCACAAAGTTGTTCATGAAAAACAAAAAAGAGAAAGAAAATCAATTAGGGTAGTGCCCGCTGCTCCCCCCCCCCCGCCCCCGCCTTTCCGGAATCCAGTCCGGGCTTTGCGCCCAGCCCGCAGACGGCCGCAGCCAGGCCTCTGGGGAGAGCCAATCAGAGGGCGCCGCTGAGCACGTGGAGGAGAGAGACTCCAGCGCTGCGCTCCCGGGCTCACTACACTTGTTACAGCCCGTCCTGAGCGCGGAGAGGGCGAGCTCTGGCCATCCGCAGGGCAGGAGCCGGCAGCCGACAGCTCAGGGAGGCAGAGAGACACAGAGATCGCCATAAGATCCACTGTAACCTCCATCCTCCCCTAGCCCCCAACACACACCCATCCACCCATCTATCCCACCCGCCAGGAGAAGCAGAGAGCGGCCCGCTTTCTGCGCCCAAGGCAAAAGCCCCAGCCATGAGCAATCAGTACCAGGAGGAGGGCTGCTCCGAGAGGCCCGAGTGCAAAAGTAAATCGCCAACTTTGCTCTCCTCCTACTGCATCGAGAGCATCCTGGGCCGGAGGAGCCCGTGCAAGATGCGGCTGCTGGGAGCAGCGCAGAGCTTGCCCGCCCCGCTGGCTAGCCGAGCCGACCAGGAAAAGGCCTTGCAAGGTAAGGCTGCCCCCTCATCCCCCCGCCGCCAGGCACCTGCAAAGGGCTGTGGGCTCCGGTTTGGATGTTAGGTGATAGGGTTGAGGGCCCTGGGGTGGTCAAGATGGAGAAGGAGGAAAGAGAGAGAACAACTTTGAGGCCTGGTGTCTCAAAGCTTAACCGGGGATCTCTCCCTCCCTCTCTGCTTCCAGAAAAAGCAGCGGCCAAGCTTCTCTTTGGGGGGCCTTACGTTCTTGGTGTTGGTTCGTAGGTCATTGAATTGCAGCCCTTTGGTGGCCTTGAGGGGGTGCGTGCAGCAGGTCAGAAACCGCAGGTGCTGGGTGGACCCTTGTAACAACTTGGTGAAGTCAAGAACCCCCAAATCTTAGAATGGGGGGGGGTGTCCAGGCAGAGTGAGCCCTGGCCTTTCCTCTGGAAGATTTCTTTAATCGTGGTACTTTGCTTTTATTTTTTAAAACACTGTATGTTAAACCCAATCCCAGCTCCCAGAGATCCCCCAAATGCTACTTGCTGTATTTGAAATGTATGCAATGTGCAGCTCCTGCATGCTATTTTTTCTCTGCTATGTTATTTTTAAAAATAGAGTTGAGATGTTTAAAGGGTTTTTTTTTTTTTTCTAAATTTAAAAATTCCATAACAACTGTCATTTTGCTCCCGCTCCGTTATGCTCAAGTTTCGCCTTAAGCTGGCCGCAGGGATGTCACAGGGAAAGAATTGTTGATTTCTCTTAAAAGCCAAAAACCAGCCACAGGGAAGACTGGAGCGGATGGTGGGGCAGAGAAGGGGCCGTTTAACATAAGACTGACGTTTCCCTTTTCTTCTTTTTAGCCCGCTAAGGCACCTGTGCCAGGCACTTCCTCCAGGGGAAGGGGCGGCTTTGCCTGTTGCACCCCTTTTTCTCCCCCCACTCGAGCCTATTTTCGCCAGGACAGTTTTTCTTGGCTTTTCTGGGCAAGGAGCTGGGGCTGCTGATTGCTGCTGACAGCTGGGGCTCCTATGGGCTCAGGGCTGCTCCTCTTAGGGGTCCCCCGCTCTGGCCAGCGCCCCTCTGGCCACCCAAGGCCCCCAGGGCAGAGCAGCAGTCATTGTTCCTGTGCAGATCTTTCAGGGAAACAATCATTTGTTTTTAAGTTGCTGCATGTTTTTAGATTCGCCCTGCCCTGAAATGGGAAGGGGGGAAAGTGAGAAAGAGGACAAGGGAAAGAAAAAGAAATGAAGAAGGAAAGAGGTGGGGAGGGGGGGGGCACAAAAAGAGAAAGGAAGGAATGGGGAGAAGATTGAGATAAGGAAAGAAAGGGAGCAACTGGGAGAGGAAGAGGAGAGAGAAATGGAAGGAAGAACAGGAGAAGGGAAGGAAAGACGGGAGGGATGGAGGCAAGAGAAGGGAAAAAGGGAAACAAGAGAGGGAAAAAGAGAAAGATGCAAAGGAAAAGGACAAGCGAGAAAAGTGGGGAAGGAGTGGAAGGAGGGAAATGGCTGGAAGCCTGGTGACACCGAGCAGGGACCCGCTGCCCGAAGCGGCTCTGTCCCAGATGCCGGCCGCCCGGTGACGGCTCTCCCTTGCCCACAGGCTCCCCCAAGGGTAGCGGCACCCCGTTCGAGGCCGAGCTGCACCTGCCACCCAAGCTGCGGCGCCTGTACGGCCCGGGCGGGGGGCGCCTCCTCCAGGGCGCCGCGGCGGCGGCCACCGCGGGTCCCCGGGGGGAGGCCCCGCCGCCGCCGCCGACCGCGCGACCGGACGGCGCAGGGGCCGCCGCCACCGTGGCCGCCGCGGCCTGGGACACGCTCAAGATCAGCCAGGCGCCGCAGGTGAGCATCAGCCGCAGCAAGTCGTACCGGGAGAACGGGGCGCCCTTCGTGCCGCCGCCGCCCGCTCTGGACGAGCTGGGCGGCCCGGGGGGCGCCGCGCACCCGGACGAGCGCCCCGGCGGCGGCACCCCGGCGGCCGCGGCGGCGGGGGGTGGCCCGGGCGCCGCCGAGGAGGACGAGGAGGAGCTGCTGGAGGACGACGAGGACGAGGACGAGGAAGAGGAGCTGCTGGAGGACGACGACGACGAGCTGCTGGAGGACGATGCCCGCGCGCTGCTCAAGGAGCCCCGACGCTGCGCCGTGGCCGCCACCAGCGCCGCCGCCGCCGCCGCCACCGCGGCCCCCGAGGGCGGCGAGCTGTCGCCCAAGGAGGAGCTGCTGCTGCACCCCGAGGACGCCGAGGGCAAGGACGGCGAGGACAGCGTGTGCCTGTCGGCGGGCAGCGACTCCGAGGAGGGGCTGCTGAAGCGCAAGCAGCGGCGCTACCGCACCACGTTCACCAGCTACCAGCTGGAGGAGCTGGAGCGGGCCTTCCAGAAGACGCACTACCCGGACGTCTTCACCAGGTAGCGGGAGGCCGGGGCGCGGCTGGGGGGCGCCGGGCCCGGGGTAGGGGGCTCCGGACGAGAGAGGCGGGCGGGCACCCCCCTCCCCGAGATCGGAGTGAGGACTTTGGAGAAGAGAGGCGCGCGGGCATCCCCCCCCCCCCACTCCCCGAGATCGGGGCGAGGACTTCGGAGGAGAGAGGCGGGCTGGCTTCCCCCCCACCCCTTCCCCAAAATCGGGGCCAGGAATTCGCTCCTGCGCTCCGTTCCGCGCCATCCCGCCGCGCCCACCCCTGCGCGCCGGGCACCCCCGCCTCCTCCCCCCCAACCCCTGCTCCAGACTTGAAGTTCAGCCCCAAACCATTTCTCTCCTTCCCAAGGAGGGTCTCTCCGGTTAAATTTTTTTCTCCCCAAGTACAAGTTTTAGAGAGAAAGCAAAGCCCTCTCCAAAGGGCGCCTGAGCCTGCCATCTTGGGGAGCGAGTTCCCCGCGCGCAGAGCGCGGAGGCCGGGCGCGGCGGCTCCCGGTCGCCAGGCACAGCAGAGGCTATTTTTGGTGGCCGCGTGGGCGCTGCGCCCCCCCCCCCCGCCCGATGCCCGGGAGCCGGTGGGTATCAGTTACGTTGTTCGCGTGAAGCTGGAGCCCGCGCCCGCGGAGGCCTGTCAAAAGCTCCAAGTTCTTGGTGCCAGGACTCCTGAGAGGAGCAAAAGAAGTCAGAAGGGAGCACTGTTTGCGATCCGCACACACAGGAGTGTGTGTGTGTGTGGGGGGGCGCTCTCCCCATCCCATGAACCCGGCGTTTATTTCATGGATACGGGGTTACAGGGTGGAAGCCTGGCCAGCCTCAGAGGGGACAGCTGGGGCGATTTCTCTGTCTGATGGGTGGCCAAGCCAACCCGGGGCTTCGCTCCCCTCGGAGCCCACCCGAGTGCGCGTGTCCCGCGCCTGTGTGTGTGTGTGTGTGTGTGTGTGTGTGTGTGTGTGTGTGTTAGGGAAAAAGCCTGTGAGGTTACTGGGCCCCTGGCCCCCATTTCTTCATCTGACTTGGGTGCCAGCCTGGCTGGGACCTTCCTCCCTGACCCTAAGGCCGAGGTCTGGGCTCCGGCGAGCAGCCAGGGGTAAGGCCGACTTCTCCAGCGGGGAGGGAGAGAGAGGCGCCTGCCTGCCTGTCCCGGCTCCTGCAGCTCCGCAGCCCTTTCGCAGGAGACGTGTGCAGCTTTCCAAAGCGCCTTTTGGAGGCGGAAAGCTGGCCGCCCCTTTGAACGGAAGGAGACAGTGCAGCTCAGGCCAACTCTAAAGTGCAGTGGCTCTGGCAATTGATTGCCAAACGCTCTCCTAACCCGAAACAGGGGGGGAGGGGGGGATGGATTGGATGCTGGGCAAAGGGATGAGATTTGGTCATCTTTTGAGTTAAACTTGGCCCTGCCCTAGGTCTCCCAGGCCTCCATTACCATGAAATATACATGTATCAGCGTGCGCTGTCAGATAGTGAATTCGCAGACGGGTTTTTGCATTTCTCACACGTGGGTTTCAAAAGAAGAAAATGATGTGGTGTCAGCTGGCAGCCGGGTCTGCCCTGGCTTAGCTTCTCCAAGGGGAACCTGGGCCTGAGATGGGGGGCAGCTCCTCACGCCCCCCCCCCCCCACTTCTACCTCATTTGGACCTTCGGTTCTTGCTGGGCACCAGCCAGGAGTGCGGTTTTGATCTGTTGGTGCTTCCCAAAGCAGGAGGGCCGGCCAGAAGCGCTTAGGGGACCCGCTTTCTCGGGTCCTGGAGTTTGGGGTGTGGACTGGGGGCCTGCCAGGGCAACCCCGGGTCTCTGGCTGGGGCAGCCCCCGCTCTTTCGTATTAGCTGGTATTAGCGATCTCGGGGAGCCAATTATTCTGGGCGCGCTCATATTTTCGGTAAACAGGTCTTAAGCCTTTTTACAGCATCTTAATGGTTTCCTATTTGCCTTAATTGTCGCAGTAATAACCGCAATGACGGGGTAGGGTTTCAGCTCAATTGACTTCCTCTGAGATGGGCAGGGTTTGTAGTGGGCACTGGAGTCAGGAGGTGCGCGGAATTTTGTTTAATCGAAAAATTACCCCACTGAACTCTTAATAAGCTTAACATATCTCCAGAGGGTAATGGGGAGTATGACCTAAGAGGGTGAGGGAGGGAGGGAGGGAGGGGGAGAGGGACGGAGGGGAAGGCGTGGAGTTGGAGAGAGAGAGAGAGAGAGAGAGAGAGAGAGAGAGAGAGAGAGATACTTTTTTAATAGGGCATAAACATTTTTAAAAATTGAGCGCTGAGTTCTCCCATTTACTAGTACTATTAGAACAAAACACGATATAAGCACTGTGTGTATGTGTATGTGTGTGTATGCGTGTGTGTGTGTGTGTGTGTGTGTGTGTGTTGTCTAACTTTGTCTTAAGAGACAGAGAGAATCTGAGCGCCCAGTTCTCTAGACTTACAGACCCAGGAAGCCACCCTTGTCACCCTTGAATGTAATGCGATGTAACATATAAAACCCCGTATCTGGCAATGTGGTTGCATATTTAATGTTTTCAATCAAATGGTAGGTACTCCAGTGTGGAAGGGATGGCGATGCCCACATGTTTGGGGGCGAGGGCGAGCAGCCAGGGGAGGCCTGCCAGTGGGGGAAGGAGTTGCGGTGACCTGTCTGTGCTGCTTTCTTACAGGGAGGAGCTGGCCATGAGGCTGGACTTGACTGAGGCCCGAGTGCAGGTGAGCTGCTCCCAAGACAGGGAGGAAGTGGGAGGAGGGGGTCTGGGGGGGGAATGGGAAGGAGATAGATTGATGAATTGGGGGGGGGAAGTTTTCCCCTTTATTAAAGGGAGAGAAGCGGAATCAGAAAAAGAGACCTCGACATGCATCCACGCACCCAAAGATATTAGAATCGGAAGGTCTAGGGTGGGTGCAGGAGAAGGTTTCTGGGGGGGGGGTCCTTGAAGAAGAAAAGGGGTCTCGGGGTCACCGAGGCTGAAGTTCAGGGGCCCCTGCAGGAACCAGTCCTTGGCCTGCCTTCTCCTGATTGAAATAATGGGACAGAGCACGGATTCGGTTGTTAGACAAATCCGCTCAGCTCCGAGCAGGTATTTGGCTGCGATTAAGTCTCCGGATTGGGCTTCATAAAAGCCCACTTAGCGCTAAAACAAACAGGGCCATTTGAAGGCAAAATGCTGTTTGATTTCCCCTCTGCCCACACAAGGAGCTGGCTAATGCTATTTGATTTCCCATTTTTTATAGCAATGAGCCCACATTGATCTAATAGGGAGTGAGTGCAATGCTATTAAAGGTGTTTGCAGCGCCATACCAGAGTGCATTTCCGAACCCGGGCCTCATAACCAAAGAGACGATCAACACTGCGCGGCCCCGATGGCCAACAGAAAACAGATGTCCCCGAGCCGGGAGCTGAGTGAATCACTTTACAGTCAAAATCGAGCGCTGATAAAGCACAATAAATTCCATATGGCTCATTTAATACACAACAGCTTTCTGCATTAGGAGGGCTAATGATGCGGCCTGCCCCCTCCCTTCTGTTGACACATTTCTCCATTGTCAAACAGAGATGTGACAGCCACTCCGTGTTCAGCTCAGGGGAGCGAGGCGTGGGAAAGTTAAATAACTTTTTAAAAAGAAGGCGGCCGCCCCCCTCCCCGTCTCCGCTGTCCCTATTCACTGGACGAGATGTAATTAAGGGAATATGAATTATTAGAGTCCTTTCGTTTACCTTCGGGGGGCCTCCGAGGCATTAATTCAATAACTCGGAATTGCAGGGGGACATCTTGATAATTGCAGCTGAGCCGGAGAGACGGTCAGTCTGTTAAAAGGGCTCCCCGTCCTTTGAGGGCATTCTATCCGCTGCCCCAGGAGCGGCGGATATTCTCGTCTAGACAGATTTGGGTACACAAAAGCTGCCCACCCAGCTCGGGCCCATCTAGTCTTACCTTCTCAAGCCCCTGAATTTCCACACCAGTCTGTCTCTGCAACTCACAAATAGATTATCTGAAGGCGGCGGAATGCTATGGACGGGTCCCCGGGCGGCAGAATTTTTAAGTAATCAGCTGAGTTGGATGTGGGATTTCTCACAGAAAGTCAAGCCAAGCTTAGCTACTCATGCTGGTAACCACAGCCCCCCGGCGGCGTGTCTCTTTGAAAGACACGGATGTCTCTGAAACATTTCTACAGCCGATCCCTCTGGGATCCTTTACAGCGTATTTTCATCTAACTCCGGATAGCCTGGAGTTCATTCTGAATTTTTAGACTTGCGTGCAGGCATAAACCCAGCCCTAAAAATATAAATGCCTTCAGGAGAGAAGGAGCCTCTATCTCCGCTGTGGGTGTGACAAGCGGGTCACATAAAAATAATGTCAGGCTCCTGGAGTTATTTTGAGACGGTGGTAGCTGCCACATTGCAGGTAACGGTCTCTACGAAGACTGCTTTCTATTAACAATTAGGAAGACACCTGGTGCTGGAAATCTCCCCTGAGCCTACAACTGTCTTATTTAAATAAATTATTTAAACCACATCTCCCCTCCACAAGAAGTGAATTACCCGTTCCCTCCGAAGATGTGGGGAAAAGTAGAAAGTCGACAGGTATCCTGATTCTGTGTCTCTGGCGCCACCAGCCAGTGCCTCCCTGGGCGGAACCAGGCCCTGGCACAGCCCTGCAGGTGGCAGACTGCGGGCCCCATATTCCATTTCTTGGGAACCAGACCCCCCAATATATGCCTGCTCAGGAATTATTGTGGGCGTTTCTTCCCCTCCAGCCCCTTCCAAATCTCAGAGCCCAACCTAGGACTCTAGGTGTTCAGTAGATGGGTGTGGATAGAATAAACGAACCGCCCCCCCCCATCCCGTTTTCAATATAGAGAAGGGATTTTGCCAGGGTAAAGCTGAAGTAGGTGAAAATAGCTGATATGCGGGGGGGGGGGGGGGAGCCCATATGCCTTCGCCACTCTGGATGTGAGCTTTTTTTTTATGACCCCATTTTACAGATTAGAAAAGTGAGGTTAAGAGAGGTTGAAGATGCACAGCAAGCAACTACGCAGACTTTTAAGCCTTGCTTCCCCCATCTCTGAACACGCCCACCAACTTTCCTTCAATGTCCAAAGAACTAGGCTCATTGAAATATCCTCTGGAAAGGGTTTGCTTGGCCCAGTTTCCTGCTGGCTTTAAGTTTGGGCTCCTTTTCACACACACCCCCCGTCCCGTTGGGGCCCCAGAAGCGTCCCGGAACAGCCTGAGGCGGGAGAGGGGGAGGCGGGCTGCGGGGGGAGGCGGGGAGGGGAGCCGCACTGACCCGGCTCTCTCCCCCTGCAGGTCTGGTTCCAGAACCGTCGGGCCAAGTGGCGCAAGCGGGAGAAGGCGGGCGCGCAGACCCACCCCCCGGGGCTGCCCTTCCCCGGGCCGCTGTCGGCCACCCACCCGCTCAGCCCCTACCTGGACGCCAGCCCCTTCCCCCCGCACCACCCCGCGCTCGACTCGGCCTGGACCGCCGCCGCCGCCGCGGCCGCCGCCGCCTTCCCGAGCCTGCCGCCGCCGCCGGGCTCCGCCAGCCTGCCGCCCAGCGGGGCGCCGCTGGGCCTCAGCACCTTCCTCGGAGCCGCCGTGTTCCGGCACCCCGCCTTCATCAGCCCCGCGTTCGGCAGGTAACAGCCGCCTCGGGGTGTGTGTCTGTCTGTCTGTCTATCCCCCCCCCACACACATACAAACACACAGGACCTGGGATCAGGGAGGAGACCCGGGGCAGGCAGAGACACACCTTCTCTCTCTGGCTGGCCCGGCCTAAAAGGTTTGGCCAAAGAAAAGCATTCAATTGTGGATCCGGACCGGGATGACTGGGAGGCTCAGCGGTACAGAGGAGGGAGGTGGCAGTAACAACAACCAGGACAATTGTGAGCGCTCAGTGAAAGCTGCAAAAATGCCATTTCAAGGCGGCGGCAGCCCAGGCCATGGTGTGTGTGTGTGTGTGTGTGTGTGTGTGTGTGTGTGTGTGAAAGTGTGCAGGTGTAAGTTACTGGGCCCGGATGGCTGCAAGTTTTGCAAAAATCCTTCCCTGTGCCCTCAAGCCTCGCAGTCAGAGGAACGCAGCCCTGGTCTCCATGGGAAACCTGGGGCCCTGGGCCCTCTGGGTGCAAAGAATTCTTCCCTTTTCCCCAGACTCCATCCTCCTAGTCACTCAAGTGACCGCTGCCAACCGTACCCGTAAGTGCCATCCCCAACCCCCATGGGGCACAAGATGACGAAATAAAAGAAACAGCTCTTCGGATGTTCTACCTCTCTCTTTAAATGAGCATCAAATGATGGAATAAAAAGTCTGTATAATCACGCAGACAAAGAGACAATGGAGGGATGTATGAAGTTGGAAAGTGCAGGGAAAATAAAACTGATGCAGCTTCCACGACCTGTCTTGGGGAGAACAAAGAAATAATAGATTTATCCTTCTGTGCAGCCACGTAACAAAATCATCTTAGAGAAAATTTTCAAAAACCAATCAAATAAAGAGAGCGAGCGCATTGCAGTGTAGTGACTTAGTTTACCTAGTGGGACCAGGGAACGTTGCGCCCCCTCCAGGCCACACTTGATTTCTTTCTGGGAAAAGATTTTTTTCTTTTCCTTTCTGACAACCAGAGACTTGGTACTGGGCTGGGTACCGGGCAGTGAGGTCCCCCGAAAGCTAGAAAAGGGGCGCACTGGGCCAGGTATGAGGGGTTGAGAGGCAGGAGGCTCTCCTGCAGCCCCAGTGGGCTCATATCTAATCCTGGAAATCCCTAGTTGGCCCTACAGGGGCGGGAGCCAGAGCCCTGGGGAGAAGCAGGGGGTGGGACTGTAGGGGTGGTAGTGTCTCCTGGGTGGGAGGGGGGGCTGTTCAAGGCCTCTGTTCAAGAACCCAGATGCTGTGTTGCTGCGCAAAGCTGGTGGCTGAAGCGCACAGAGCAATCCCGGTGCTGCCTGGAGGTGGTGGCACAGAGTAGGGTTGCAGGCTTGGATGTCTCCAAGCACTGCGTGCGTGACAGTGGGGGGTCAAGAGGCTCTCTGGGACCAGGGAAGGCGGCGGGAAAAGGGTGTCTGTGCCAGGACCCAGGGCCTTTGGCAGGTCATAGCCTTCTGTTCACGGGTAATCAACAGGCGGCACCTCCACCTGATCATTGGCTGGGCACTGGCAGCTCAGCCTGGCACAGGCCGGCTGCCCTGTTGGCGGGAAGGTAGGCGAACGCGGCTGGATTTTCCAGGGCCCAAAAAGTCCCGACAGATGAGGCGCCCTAGACTCCGGGGCCTAGAGAGAGTACCAAAGCCTGCAGAGCTGGTTTTGGCAGAGCTGGTCTTGAGCAGTTTTGATCCCCCCCCCCCTTTCCTTTTTCTCTTTGTCTCTCCTTCGCTCTCTCCTGGCAAATGGTATGACAGGCGATTGGAGCTGCGGGTCTGGGAATACAACCCCCTCCTTAAGCGAAAGCACAGCATCCATGCCATCGGGGCAGTGGGGTTTGGGGCCCGGGACCTCTCTTCCGGCTGACTCTGGCCTCTCCAGGAAGATCTGGCCCTTTGATCGTTTTTTCCCCTCCGTCTGCTCCCCTCTCGGCGGCGCCCAGCTTCCCGCCCGCGCCCTCACCCTCTCCCCAGCCCGCGCCGCCCGTCCGGGGCCGCGCCTCTGTCCCCCCCCCCCCCTGCTCCCCGATCGGAGGCTGGGGGGGGAGCGGGGCCGTGACCCACCGCGCTGTTTGCTCTCCCCGCAGGCTCTTTTCCACCATGGCCCCCCTGACCAGCGCGTCCACCGCAGCCGCGCTCCTGAGACAGCCCGCCCCGGTGGAGGGCGCGGTGGCGTCGGGCGCGCTGGCCGACCCCGCCACGGCCGCCGCCGACAGACGCGCCTCCAGCATCGCCGCGCTCAGGCTCAAGGCCAAGGAGCACGCGGCGCAGCTCACGCAGCTCAACATCCTGCCGGGCACCAGCACGGGCAAGGAGGTGTGCTAAAGGCCCCCCGCCAGCCCCGGGCGCCCCGGAGGCCACCTCACTCAGCACCACTCAAGACCAAATGGAAACCGAGGACCAGCGCCCCCTCCCTCCCCCCCCCCCAGAGGCCACCGAGGGAGCGCGGCCGCTTTCGCAGCCGCCTGGACGCGGGCGAGGCGGCCCTGGGCGCTACCCCGACGTGGCACCCCCTCGGCTGGCTGTCCCCTCCTCCCCTGTCCCCCTGTCCTTGTCCCCCACCTCCACCCCTGCCGTCCCGTCCCGACCCTACTCCCATCAACCCTGCTCCAACTCGGATGTCCACTTTCTCCCATTCTTACTTTCCTGAAAAGATGGGGAGGTTTTCTCCCCAAGAGGCCCCGGATCGAAGTTAAAAATTAAAAAAAAAAAAAAAAAAGCCCATCCTCTCTTCCTCCCACTTAGCTTTTTTTTTTTTTTTTTTTTTAAATAGCATTTGGCGCTCTAAGTTGATCTCTCCCCAGCGCGGGCCCGCCCCAGCGCGATGCCAGGGCCCCGGAAGCGAATGCGGATCTGTAAGATAGCTACCAGTGCACTTAATGGCAAGGGGCGTCTCGTTCTTGTTCTCTTCTTTATCCCACACCAACCAAGGTTTTTCTATCAAACCAAAGGGAAATACTCTGCTAGGATATGGACTGTCGAAGTCACCAACTGTGATTATTGATTCTGTATATACCATTGTTATTAAAAGAAAAAAAAGAACAGAGCTTTGTATATTTGAAATGTTATAACGCAATTGCACTCAGCGTGGTATGGTAAAAAGTTTGTCCTCCTGTAGCTGCTTACTGTGTTGTAGATACGGTAGGGTTCCTAGACAAATATTTATGTACTCAATCAAGCCCTTTATTTAACTTATTAACGGTAGAGGCTTCCAAAACCTTCCAGATAAAGGCAATGGTACAGTACTTTTGTGTAACGTGTAACTGTTATCACTTTTCCTTGCTATCTAGTGGAGAAGTGTCACGCTCAAAATAAAAAAAAAATTATATGTTTAACAAAAGGAAGTGTGCATGCTCTGTGCAGGCGCTGAGGGGACGGGAGAAGGGGGACCCCCAGAGGCCAGGGCTGGGCTGGGCGCCCCAGCATTCCGGGGATTTCTCTCACCCCCGTTTTGTGTGAATCTGATCCTCCCCAGTATCCGGGCTCCTGCAAAGGCGAGGGATGCCCCCTGGTGCTTTCCAGGGGCTTCTCTGCCCCCTGGGCTCCCCGGCCAGGGAGGTGGGCAGGCTCCAGGGTGGGTGGGTGGAAGGTAGGCGTTGTTGATGGTGGAGACAGGTTTGAAGTGAGGGGAGTCTCCGCTCTCAAGTGGAAGGGAGCTCTTTGTGGAAAGTGCCAAGCAGCAAGGAAGTGCTCCGTCCCGATGACAGGTAATGGCTGGGAACCAAGGCGCTAGCTTCCAAGGGCGCACATGGCTAGCTCCTAGGTACACAGTGCCCCCTCAGTGAGAAGGGATGGAGAGGGGGGAGGAAGGAGAGAGAGAGAGAGAGAGAGAGAGAGAGAGAGAGAGAGAGAGAGAGAGAGAGAGAGAGCGCCCCAAAGCCCTAGAGCCGGAAACCGCGGGGATGGTGACAGGAAAGGCAGCGAGAAGAATCCAAGTGACAGATCTTCACTCCACAAATGGCATCACTCATCCAGGCGCCAAACAACAACGTATACATTAAAAAGAATCGAAACAACTCAGGCTTCGAGAGGAGACCCCAACCGATTTTCGGTCCCAGGCCCCCTGGGCGCACCCCTCCCCGGAGGCCTCCCCCCCAGGCCCTACCTGCGCCTCCGGGTGACCGTGCGACCTCAGCCCGCCCGAGGGGGCCCGGTCTCACCGCCGCTCCCAGGGTGATGGGAAAGGGAAGAGAAGCTTAATTAGTTTCAATTTGCAGTAATTAGCGCGCCAGACCTTTGGGGAGAGGGGCAGGCGGGGGGTGAGGGGGTGGGGGGGGGGGTGACTGCCGCGCCTTGAGGAGCCGGAGCCGCTGCCCCGCCAGGCCCTGGCCCTCCGGCGCCGTGGGGGGCGCGGGCGCGCCTCCAGCCCTGGCGATCCGGCTCTGCGGGCGCCCCGGCGGCGATCTGGGGAAGGGGGGCGGGTCCCCTGGGCCCGGGGGGGGGGGGGGGGCCCTATGCAAGGCCTGGGGGCAGGTGCGGGGTCGGGCCGAGGTCAGCGGCAGCTCCAGGAGGGCCGCCGCTAGGCAGCTGCCAGGCTCGGCCCGGGCATCCTCAACTGCCCCCCCCTCCGCCCCCAAACCCAACGTCCAGAGCCCCTGTCCGCTGGGAACCTTGCGGGGGGGAGGGGGGGGAGGACTCCCGGGCCCTGGGGCAGTCATGGCCAGCGTGCCCCCGGCCTTAGACTCGCTCCCAAGCCTGGCTTGAGGATTGGGGAGCCCCAGCCAACTACCTTCTCTCCGCAGTTCCCACCGCACCCTCCTCTCTGGGGTGCAGCAGGCCCGGCGGGAACTTTCTAGAATGATCCCCGGAATCTGAGTGTGTTAAACCTCAGACTCCGCAGGGTCTGGGGGGGGGGGGTAAAGGCCGCTTTCCTGGGGGTGGGCAGAGTTTCTCAGGAGTTTGGAGTGGAGAGGGGAAGTGCAGGAGGAACATGAGGGAAAGGACTCTCTCTCTCTCTCTCTCTCTCTCTCTCTCTCTCTCTCTCTCTCTCTCTCTCTCTCTTTGTGGTCACTATCAATTTTCCGTCGATGTTGGCTTTTTGTTTCGGTAGGGCTTTTCCCCTCGCCAGGCTGCCAGTTGGATGGCGCACGAGAAACAGTACCATTCTTCCTGTTAATGAACTCTTTTTAAAGTCATTTTTTCTCATTTGACCCTTCCATGGAGCAGAAGCAAATTGCGTGAAATTACCTCCAAGGATTACGTTTATTACTGGCCAATGAGAGCCCCTCGCCTTGCTTTACAAACTCCTAATCCCGTGTCATTCTGATGCCGCAAACAAGCCCGCTTCTGGGCCTCCTATTCTTTCAACTTTCCCCAGCTGGAGGGGCCTCATTCGGCACTTAATATTCCCCATAAATATCACACGCTAAAGACCCCCTGACTTCCAGCAAGTCCACATTAAACATGTGACATGTCACGCATGACAAAGTCTGAGTATCTTTTCAAAGCAGCATTAAAAGCAAAGAAACCAATTTTCTTCTTCCTTCCAAACCTCCCCAAGTGCTGAATGATGGGGATTGGAAAGAGCCACTGGAGCGTACTTAGGGGGATTTTATGAGATTTTCCAGAATGATTTAATCTTATTGTGAGCATTATTAATGAATGGCAACCCAATTTGGCCCCAATATCTGGGAACACAGTCACAATGCTGGGAGCGGCTGACCGCCCCCCCCGCCCGAATTCCCCCACCTTCCACCACGGAGGAGGGGTGCGGAGCCCGGAGCCCAGGCAAATTGGGGAGAGCCCCCTGATACCGGCATGGCTGTCCCCTGTCACACCCAGGGCAGAGTGCCCCACCACCGGCTCTCCGAGGGCCACCTCCACAGCATCTTGGGGGGAGGGGGGATTGGGAGCCTGGTCTGTGGGAATGAAGGGAAGGGGTGAGCCCATTTGCTACATTTTCAGACCAGATCTGGAGGAGGATCCCAAAGAAAAGGGAAGGAGGCAGTTGGCCTAACATTGTCAGAAGGTGCCCCTAAGTGTTCTTCTGTGGACAGCGGTTGGAATAAGCAGCTTAGGCTTGTGGCCAGGAAGGTGGCAGGCAGATGAATGAGGGGAGAGTGACTATGGAAGAGACGGTCTGGGATGACAGGGGGACTTGAAAGTCAGACTTCAGCTAAAAGTCACCAGTACTGGCCCGGCCCATTTCCCATTTTCCCCCCTCCCCCAAGTGGGGCAAGCATTTATTATTTTTTTCTTTATAATACCAAGAGACAAGGCATCTGGAGTTCTCTTTTCTGTATCATCTTGAGTGTGATCTTACCAGAATGGAAAAGGGGGCTGATGTTAGAGGAAAGAAAATTATACTGGGTTTGTTCACCTTGCATGTAGAGGGAAAACTGTACGTGAACATGTGTGTATGTGTATACACAAAAGTGTGTCTGAATGAAGGGGGTCCGAAATGGGGGCTAACATTGTATTTTGAACCACAGAAGCAACCGCACATGTAACTTACGGTGGCAGCCTGCCTGGGGAGGCAGGGGCAGAAAACTACTACCTGATGGGGAAAAAAGTTTTTCAAAGGAAAAAGTCGTGTTGTCCCTGGGCGTTATTAACGGTCCAGTTTGAAGTATACATTTTTCCCTTTAAAGAAAAGGGAGCCATTGCCAGTTACACATTAAGAAATGTCATTCAGTCATTTTTTATTCATTCTCCGGAAATCTTCGGCAAAGCCTGAATCATACTTCTAACAAGCAGCAATTTTGTTAATCCAGGGGGTTATTACTCTGGGCCCTTATTAGGTTCGACACCACTGCCAAGCAATCCTATAACCCTCTCAAAAGAAGTTTACCTCCCTGCTATAAAACCAGTAGTGGTATTTATACTGTGCAATAATTAGTGTATTACTTGAATCCACTAACACGTTCATTTTATCTCTGCACAAAACCTCTAGTCTGCTTATAGAAAGCTTGTGCCTCCTTTGGAGCCGGTAAAGTGGTGAAAGAGCGAATTGAAGGCTGGTTGCACTTTCTCCTTTTGCCTCGCCTTAATTCCCATCTCTTTTTGCTCTCATCCAATTAGCACAGTGTATTAAGCGGTTTATCATCTCATAGTCAGCTATTGAGAGAAACAAGGCGAGCACTTTGCAATAGAACCTGCTCTCCTTTGACACCCTCAGGTACTTACATATTCCACTGTGCTATGAATAATAGAGGAAGAATGGAGAGCTAATTCCCTCATCAAAGAATGCCTTGTCTGCTGCTTTGCTCAACAACACCATTCTGATCAAAAGAAAAGCAATAAAGCTTAGCATAACAAAACGAAACCTACTTATTAGCTTAGTGGTTAAATTAATGCAGAGCCGCTGCTATTCAAAACCAAGGTTTGAAAACAGCCTCCAACAACCTGATAATGCTGCCTTCGGGATGAAGGAATTTTAATCTGAAATTTGAGGCTGGCTCAGATGAGTTAATCTATTAAACTGCTATCAGGAAGCGCCGCAGCAAACCGTTCAATTAAGAAATATTTAGGTGAGGGGAGAAAAAAAGGGGAAGGCGAGGCCGCGTGAAGTTTAGGGGAAGAGCATTGAATTGAGGGGTCGGGGATTCTGACAAGAGGGTTTGGGCTCGGTGTGTTTTTTGTAAAACCCTGACAGAAGACGGAAATCTGGTTTTGGAGTTTCCTTGTATTGGCATCTCCCGCCAAGCTGCCTGAGATGATGCTTGAGAATCCCGGGGTGTAGAGGTAAGAAGTGGTGCGGGCTAGACCAGGGGGTGATGGTGCCGGGCAGGGACTGCATCCCTTTTCAATATCCTCTCCCCAGCTGCAGCCTGGGCTTTAGTTTCCTGGACAAATTAAACTCTTACTGAGCTTGCCTTTCATAGGATGTGCAACATCTGCCCTCCCGCCTCCCTTTGTATGGAGGAGAGCTGAGGGTGAGCATGCTGTGTCCCAGATAAATGTGTGCCCTGTTGCAGGCGGGTTCTGCTTCCTAAACTCAATAGGAAAGGTGCCCTTTTCAGAGGCGTGGGGTTCCGAGAAGAGCGGGGTTCTTTCAGAGTATGTTTCCCAAGGGCCAGGATACAATTTAAGCCCAGAGGTTTAGTCTGGCCCAGAGCATTTAATTGTTTTTATTTTTAAAAAATCAGTCCCACCGGTGTAGCTCAGTGGTTGAGCATTGGCCCAGGAACCAAGAGACTGAGGTTCCATTCCCAGTCAGGGCACACACCTGGGCTGCAGGCTCCATCCCCAGTAGGGGGTGTGCAGGAGGCAGCTGATCAATGATGCTTCTCTCTCATCAATGCTTCTCTCTCTCTTCAATCAATAAAAATATGTTTAAAAATCAGTTGCCAAGAGACTTTATAGAATATTAGGATGCTTAGCTTCTCTTGAAAACTGGATGTGGTCTAGGTTTGGTCCCTCCCAGCATCACTGGACAGCCGCTGCCCACTATGGACAGTCCCTGCCTCTCTGGTGTGAACCTGGCCTGGCCTGTTGCATCCCTTCACTTTAGTACTTAGCTCAACCCCATGCTAGGGAGCCTGGGCAGATAGTTGGGCGCCTCCCCCTTACAAAGTGGGCAGCATTTCTTTCTTTTTTTCTTTTTCTTTTTAGCATTTCATTTAAAAAATATTTTTATTGATTTTTTACAGAGAGGAAGGTAGAGGGATAGAGTTAGAAACATCGATGGGAAAGAAACATAGATCAGCTGCCTTCTGAACACCCCCCACTGGGGATGTGCCCGCAACCAAGGTACATGCCCTTGACCGGATTTGAACCTGGGACCCTTCAGTCCGCAGGCTGACGCTCTACCCACTGAGCCAAACTGGTCAGGGAGGTAGGCAGCATTTCTATACCATCTTACCCACTGAGGAGTAGACACTATTCTCAGAGAAAAGTTTATAAGCCATGTTCCAATCTTCCAAAAACAGATCCACTGGGATTCTTCAAAGTTGCAGTTCCAACTTTATAAAATCCTGGAACACTTAGGTGCCTCCCAGAAAAGCCTCTCAACTCATCTGGAGTTGCAGATCAGAATAAGAAACATCAACAATGGCATGAGCTCTTTTCAAAGACTGTTCTCACGGCGTTTCCAATGTAGATGCAGAGACAAGAAGCAGACTAGTGAAGTTACAAGAAGTTCCGGGAGATTCTTGATGACCAAGTTCAGGGTAACTACCTGTATTTACCATAACCTCAGGCCCAAGAAATCAAGGAAAACATGTCTTCTCTTCAGAAAGCAAAGTGCAGGCCTGGGCTCGGGAAGCACACATTTGATCACCATTTCTGACCTTAGACAACAGCGATGAAAACCACACCAATCCCTTAGTTTCCCCGAAGCAACTTGGGCGTTCCAACTTTTGATAGGTTGCAGAGCCGGAAGTACCTAGGCATTCATGAACGAACTGACAGGGCCCTAAACCGAAAGTGTTTCTTCTGCTTAGAAGCTGAGTGTAAGAGAGACGGTGGAGAAAGGAGAGGGTGAGGAGAGTAAAGAGAGGGTAAAGGAAGATAAAAGGCGGTGCCATCTCAGTTGCTTTGACAAGTATTCCTTCACTAGGGTCCATGTTGGATGACCTTTCTCTCGTGGGCTAACCTTTTCTCAGGAGCCATCGCCTTGGCTCTCCCCAAAGAGATGTCATGGGCTCTTAGCTTAGCTCTTTGACTGCCCACGTGAGCAAAGGTCATGAGAAACCATACTTCATCTCTCTCTCTTTTTAAAAAAATATTTTACAGAGAGGAGGAGAGAGGGATAGAGAGCTAGAAACGTCGATGAGAGAGAAACATCGACCAGCTGCCTCTTGCACACCCCCCACTGGGGATGTGCCCGCAACCAATGTACATGCCCTTGACTGGAATCGAACCCGGGACCCTTCAGTCCGCAGGCTGACGCTGTACCACTGAGCCAAACCGGTTTCGGCCATACTTCATCTCTTAAGGGACCCGAAGCCCAGAGAAATTCTCCCAAACGTCACTCAGAACTTCAGGACATACATCAGGTGGAGCTTCTTAGAGCCGATTCTAACCAGGCCGAGGTTTGGGAAGTGGACCTCTTATTCCTTGCTGCCCCCTCTAGTCAACGTTTTGTTCCTGATAAGGACTTAGGGCAACTGGTTTCCCTTAGAAAACTTTATTCTTAAGTGAAAAAAAAATAAAGCACAACATATTTATTAAAAAAAAACACATAGGAAAATAGTTTTAAAAATAAAGCATGGATGTACAGGAGAAATATATCTTGTTAGTATAAACTTATCGATAATATAAGGAAAGACTGCTCTATGGAAGTCCATTTAGCTTCTGGCAAAGCACAAGTGAGAAAAATAGCACCGGAGGCAATGACCCACAGCCCTCCGAATATAACACAAGGACCCTCACCCCAGACTCCACATGTTTTTAATGAAATGTTGCAGGATACCAAAGTATTTTAAACGTGTTTTCCCACCGTATAAACCTTTCCTTGGATTTTCTACTTAAGAGGGAAGACAGGAATGTGAGCGTAAAACACCTGCCCAGTGTGCATGTGTGTGTGTTGGGCTCTGGGGCAATTCAATAAACAAGTGAGCTCTGTTTAATCTATTTAGTGAGAGCAAGGTTTCTCAATCGCCCCCCTTCGACCAGCGTATAAAAGACCAGGCTGAAAAGGACAGCCGCCCCTGCAGCCAGCGGCTGGGAAGCGCTTGGGCTGAGCCTGGGTTTAATTGGCATGTGAAAAGGCAAAACCTTAGTGCTCCATAAAGCTCTCTTTCTGGGGGCGCCTCTGCTGAGGCCCCGGGGGCACAGCTTGGGGTCACTCTCAATTAATTTCTCTTCTCTCGCTGACCCCTTCCCGCCAAATCCAGTCCTGAACCCCAATCCAAAGCAGCTGGCTCCAGGTGCTTTGCAAAGGGCGAGAGGACCACTTTTCAATAGTACCCGTGTTTCCCCGAAAATAGGACATCCTCCGAAAATAAGACCTAGCGCATGGAAAGGTAAGACATCCATCCCCTGAAAATAAGACCTAGCGCAACTTTGGGAGAAAAAATTAATATAAGACACTGTCTTATTTTCAGGGAAACAGGGTACGTGGTGTATTTTTTTTTTTTTTTTTTGCAAGAGGAAGGCTGTTTGCATCTTCCCTGATGCACATGAACATGAGATGCAGTCCACATGAAAAGTGAAGCGGAGAAGCGGTGAGGACCCCAGGGAGGCGAGGGAGGTGACAGGTAGTGGCTATGGGTCTTCATTCAACCACCCCCGCCACGGCCACTTCTGGAGCGCCCTCAGGCCCTCACGGCGCAATCCACGAAGAGCTTGCTGAGGTTCACTTCGGTGTAGCCACTTTGGGACAAGAACTGCTCCGTTATGTTCTTGAGATTTTTGTAGTCCAGACGGACTTTGGGGGTGAAATACTGCTTCTTTATTTTTTCTGAAAAGAAATTAAAAGAAAAGGATTACAAGTGTGAGAGAGAGAACGAGCTTTTACTTCGCCATTGAAGTTAACCTACAATATTATAATAGTTTCAGGCGTGCTAGTATAACATAGCGATTAGACATTTGTATACCTTCTGAAGTGACCCCCCAATAGGTTTAGTTAGTACCTGTATACTGACTACTCTACTCCCTGTGCTTACTTTATATCCAGAGGGAGCTTTTATTTTTTAAAATCTTTTTATTGATTTCAGAGAGGAAGGGAGAGGGAGAGAGAGAGATGGAAACACCAATGATGAGAGTCATTGATCGACTGCCTCCTGCACACCATACACTGGGGATCGAGCCCGCAACCCAGGCCTGTGCCCTTGACTGGAATCAAATCCGGGACCCTCCAGTCCGCAGGCCGACACTCTACCCACTGAGCCAAACTGGCTAGGGCCAGAGGGAGCTTCTTAAAAGACTACCCAGCACTTCTCATGCACTAGAGAAGGGGGTGCAGATTGTACCTGCAGCTTGATGGCTCGGATATCTTCATGGTCCTGTTGCTGGTCTGCCCCTGGCCCAGTCCCAGGCAGGGGGTACCGAGCCCCCGAGATTCCTCAGTGGAAGCCATTCTGCCTTTTCCTGCACACCAGTGCTCAGCACCCTGCTGACTCAGCAAAAGGGGGGGCGCGGGGCAGGGGCACAGCTACCATGATGGCACGCAGGTGCATGCCCATGTGCAGCAGGCAAGGTGAGCGCCGCTTGCAGACACCACTGTTGCAGCGCTGTTGAGCATATGCACACACTGCATGCAAAGTATGGATGGGGCAGGAAACACTTGGTCTCAGAGGAAGCCTGTGAACTTCGGGCACGCAGCCCCTCCTCTGCTTCCTACTCCTTCTCCCCATGCCCCCCTGGCTTTTCTGTTCGGAGCAGAGCACGACCAGGCACAAGGAAGAAGCTCTTTCCTTCCTCGGAGCCTTCCCTCTGGTTCTTTTCAACAAGCAGCAGGGCTGCGACACCCAGCTCTGATCTTCTGGGGACAGAGGTGATCCTGGGGCGGCCAACCCTGCCCAGGAGAGTTCAGATGACACAGTTTTTGTCCAAAGCTACCCGGGAACGCAGTGAGGTGTTTGGGGGGGGGCCCTTAAGAAAATCCTCATTTTCTGGCTGAAGAAACTGGGAGGTCAAGTCCCTTGCCTAAGGTCACTCAGCTGCTAACCTGGATGAAGACATACAACCCGGGCAGCCAGAGCTCCCAGGGAGCTGGGCAGCCCTCAAGGGGCCAGCCTGGGCTTCAGTGCCCAGCGCTGGGGATAGGAAAGCATCGGGGAGAAAATGATGTCCATCACAGAAAGACAAACCCACTGCGATGGCACAGCACCTCCAGTGTCTACAAAACACCTGGACAATGAAAACTCGCTCTCAAGATTTAAAAAATATATATATTTTATTGATTTTTTTTTACAAAGAGGAAGAGAGAAGGATAGAGAGTTAGAAACATCGATGGGAGAGAATCATTGATCAGCTGCCCCCTGCATACCCCCCTACTGGGGATGTGCCCTCAACCAAGGTATATGCCCTTGACCGGAATCGAACCTGGGACCTTTCAGTCTGCAGGCTGACACTCAATCCACTGAGCCAAACCGGTTTCGGCTCGCTCTCAAGATTTTTATTCCTTAGCCACACAGTCACATTTGTTCTCCACCACCTTGGCTAAATCGCATCAACTGCTTCTCAAACAACAACAAGTTTAGCAGAAGGCACTGAAATGCCCCAAGGCGGCGGGAAAAACCAGCAAGAGAAAGACAAGGGGCTCCTCTTGAACTGGAGAAGCAGACGGACACTTTGAAAGTTCTAATTATCGCGAGTCTGGGAAGAGGCAACAATGGCCCCTGCCCGGGCAGCTGCTCTGCAGGCCACAGGCCGGGCAGGCCCCTCGGCCTGGGAGTGACGCGGCGCATGTGCCGGGGGCCAGCAGGCTGCAAGAGCCAGGGTGATGGGGAGCGGAAAGGAAGAGAGAGGGCACGGCTCCCGATGTGTCTGCCTCCTCTGCTGATGGGATATTGACTTTTCCCACCAGGTTGGTTAGAAAGGTGACTATTTACGCCGCCACACAGCGGAGTGAGAATGACAACCAGCATCACTTGGTGCTCTTCTTCGTGAAAGAGACAACTGTGATCACCAGTGTCCGCCACAGCCATCAATATGGCCAAGGCACCATTCCATGCCAGTTTGAAATGCAGATAAAAAGCTCTCACTTGCTTCCCCAATGAGAACTGAATCAATAATGTAGGGGAGATCTAGGAAACAACTGGATTTGCTGTTGCAGGCCCGGGGCTGGAGCTGAGGGGGAACGGGTGCACCCCTTCCTCATGGTTTTCTCTCCCCGCTCCAGGCTCACAGGCCGCCGCCATGTGAGGCTTCACCTTAACACCATCACCCTGTTTCCTTGGATGCTCCAGCAACTATTTAATTTAATTTTTAATATATTTAATTGATTTTTTACAGAGAGGAAGGGAGAGGGGTAGAGAGCTAGAAACATGGATGAGAGAGAAACACCCATCAGCTGCCTCCTGCACACCGCCTACTGGGGATGTGCCCGCAACCAAGGCACATGCCCTTGACCGGAATCGAACCTGGGACCTTTCAGTCTGCAGGCTGATGCTCTATCCCCTGAGCCAAACTGGTTAGGGCATGGGATCTTAAATATTTTATTTCAAAGTCAACTGATCAAATAAAATGTTAGATCTATTCGGAACAACAGAATATTCTCCCATCTCAGGAAACCATCTCTAGCTCAGATATTTTGTCTGTGTCAGTAACACCGAAATCTCTCCGCAGTTTTACTCCTTCTGGATCCCTTTCTCGACCTAAAGAAACACACTGCACTAGAAACCAGGAGGCAGAGACATTTTAACATCGCACACTGGTTATTTCACTTTAATTAAGGCAGGCTTAGGCACACAGGCGGCAGCCGTCTCTGTTCTGAATGTCTGTTTCATTTATTTCTGTGCAAAAGGTATCAAACAACAGTCAGTTATAATTGATTCTGTCAGGTGTTATACAGTCAGTCATAATTGTCTCTGTGTAGAGGTGTGTCAATTTACTATATCTGAATTAAATATTCTGTCAATTATGGAACCAGGTAATAATTTCAGTCAGCTTTTTAATTGCATGGCTTCCCACTATACAGTTCTCAGCTTTCCTACCTTTTCTAATCCGCAGCCTCCCTCCCTCAATGCAACAAGGGCTCCGGGGAAGGGGCGGAATGCAGGAAGCTTTAAGAATTTTGAAAAAACAAAACAAAACAAAAACAAAACACAAAACACCCCCCCCCAAAAAAAATAAAACAAAACAAAACAAAAAACCCGCATACCCTCTTTATGGTTTAAAGCCACTCAACCTATACAGAGAGCTGTTACAGCCTCTGGCCTGGCTGTCTCTCTCTTGAGTGTCAATCAATAAGTGAGTGTGGGCTCTGCACAGAATCTGAAAGATTTCAAGTGACATCATGTTTCAGAGGCAACCACATGTAGGGTCCCAAATCAAATGACATTTCTCAACTGAAATGAGAAAGAAAAAACCATCACCTTCCATGCAATTCTTTAAAAAAAAATATTTTATTGATTTTTTACAGAGAGAGGAAGGGAGAGGGATAGAGAGCTAGAAACGTCAATGGGAGAGAAACATCGACCAGCTGCCTCTTGCACACCCCCTACTGGGGATGTGCCCACAACCAAGGTATATGTCCTTGGACCAGAATCGAACCTGGGACCTTTCAGTCTGTAGGCCGACGCTCTACCACTGAGCCAAACCGGTTTCAGCCATGCAATTCTTTTTCAGAAACATTTCATGAGGCACAGTGCCAGGCACACACAGCGCGAGATGTGTTTATCGATGAACCCCAAACTGGAGGACCATTCTCGACTGTCAAATCACAGCCTAGATGCTAAAATATTTCTAAGGCTGAAGAGTCTCTCTGCTAGTCTACTATCCAGCTCCACTGCTACTTATAAATAATTATCTTCGGTTTTCTTTTTCTCTTCTTTTTTGTTGATACCAAAATACAGCCTTCAAACAGAATAAAATATCCATGGTTTAGCTCAAGTGCTCTACTGGGCTGATCTGACAAGTATTTAGGAGTGAGAGAATTCTCTCCACCATTGGTCTGGTTCATGTTCAGTAAGTGCAGGCTTCCTGCAGCCCGGTGGGCTGAACGGGGACCCCTCTGGCTCCCCGGAATGGAAGTGCTGAGGGGCCGGCTGCTGGCAGTGGCTGGTCACTGCAAGTTTGGGAGAGAGCAGAGGGTGATGGGAAAAGGGAGGAGACAGGGTGAGCCAATGCAAAGAATGTCACATCTGGAGTGAAAAATAGAAGGGGAGAGCGGTGCCCCTTACCATGTTTCAGTGGAGAAAGAGTCACCTTGAAAGAGATCAAAAATTTCCTTTCAACCGGATGAAGCGATTCTATCAGGGTTGGGTTTGGGGTGTTTGTATTTGTCATGTTGGAAGAAAATTGCCCACGCGGCCCTCTCGCTGAGGTTATAAAAAGTCCTGTCAACCACACTGGACAGACATTTTTTGGGGTGCGGGGAGGGAAAAAAACCCACATTGTGCAGGATCATTAAGCACTGTTGTATAAATAAAGTTAGAAGATCAAACGAAAGAGGGGACTCGGGTTAAATGCTGGAAGACAAGCTTAAATAAAGTTCGAAGAAAAAAGCAAGGCACGCTGTAATTCCAAGAACCTATTACTTCAGACAATTTACTTCAAAAAATAAAATCAGAATGGTAAATGATTACCCAAAAGCAATCATGTCATCATCACTGAGAGATGGAATAAAATAATTTTTTGTGAAGTGGCTGAATGAGAGCAACTTAAAAGCCACGGAGCCTGTCAGAAGCACATTATTTCTTTTTACACCCCGTTTCCCAATTCATCTCAGTGCTGCTGACTAACCTCGGCTCCCAGCAGGTGGAGCATTTAAAATAAATAGCATTTCCTACAAAA